GAGCAGCATCCTGTCCCGGGGACCTGAACCAGGCTGGCCAAGTGGACGTGGGGGCGGGGCGAGATGGTGGGGGCGTGGCCTGCAGCCGGGAACTCGGGGGCGTAGGGAGTTCAGTGCAAGGGCGGCCCAGGACTCGGGTGGGGGACACAGCTGGAGGGTCACAGGAGAAGTCCAAAAGGCAGCAGGGGGAGTGTCCACGGAGGGTATTCCTGGGGGCACAGGTATGGGGAAGGGAGGCCCAGACAGAAGTGGGTTTGGGGAGGGCTGTCAGCGTAGCTCGTCCCCAACGTGTTCGCTAAGGCACGATCCACGTTAGATTCTGCTGGAATGAGACGGTCCCCCGGCCGCGCCCTGGAGGTACGGCCCCTCTGAAGAGCGCAGGCGCCGCAAACCCAAGTCCCGCCCAGATCCCTCCGCGCCACTCACATTTCTTCTGCCGCTCGCGGATGTGCTCCCGCCACTCGGCGCGCTCGTAGTCGGACGCGATGAGGAACGTGTAGCTCTGGGAGGGGTACAGCAGACCACAGGTTACCCCGCACCCCTCGCGCACACGCACACACGTCATACACAAAGACACGTGCATACACGCACAGTCGGTGCTGGCAGCAGGCCTGCTTGCTTCCGGTACACTGCACCCGCAGCAGCTCCCGCTGTCCCTGCACTCACCGGCCCACCTGTCCCACCTGCCTCCCGCCACCCCGGGTCTGAACCTGCACCGGCCCACCTGTCCCACCTGCCTCCCGCCACCCCGGGTCTCAACCTGCACCGGCCCATCTGTCCCACCTGCCTCCCGCCACCCCGTGTCTCAACCTGCACCGGCCCACCTGTCCCACCTGGTCCCCTGGGACAGGACGTGATGCTAGAGAAGGGAGAAGCTAGGCCCCTGCTGGTGGTCTGTAGGGAGGCCCAGCAGAGAGGTGGGCAGGGACTCTGCCAAGTCTGCCAGGCCCTTTCCCAGCCACATTCTGGGAGCTGACAGGCATGTAAGATGCCGCAAGGGGAGAGGACCGAAGACCGCATTGGGAAGAGACCAGGGGCACTCCGAGAAAGGGGCTCACAGACCACGAGTGCAGGGTCCAGGCTGAGAGCCTGCATGCAGGGCCGGCCACGGGCCACAGACCGCGCGCGGTACAAAACAAAGGGACATGTGTGGGTGCATGTGTGTACACGTATGTCTGGGAGTGTGTGTACATGCATGTGAGTGTGTCTCTGTGTGTGCATGTAAGTGTACATATATGAACACATGAGTGTATAATTGTGCAGGCTTGTTGAGTTATGTATTTACATGACTGTGAGTGTGCATGTGTGAGTGTATGATTATATGTGTGTACATGTGTATATGTATATGTGTATATGTATGCATGTGAATAAAGAGTCCTGGTGGCGTAGTGCCTAAGGCATCTGCTAACCAGAAGGCTGGAGGTTCAAACCCAACAGCCACTCTATGGAAGGAAAACTGGTCAATCTACTTCCGTAAAGATTTACTGCTTCGAAAACCCAAAGAGGTCACTATGAGTCTGAATTAACTCAATGGTAGTAGGTTTCTGGGTTTGATGCATGTGAGTTTGTGTATGTGTAAGTACATGCATGTACATGTAAGTGTATATAAGTGTATTTGTACACATGTGTAAATGTGTGAGTGTATGAGTGTACATGTGTGAACGTGTGTGCTGAGTGTGTATGTGTGTGTATATGTAAGACCATGTATCTACATGTAAGTGTATTTGTATGCATTTGCTGTGTAACTGTATGAGTGTATTATGTATCTGTGTGAACGTATGTGCTGAGTGTGTGACTGCATGTGTATGCATATGTGTGTATATGTAAGAACACATATCTACATGTGAGTGTATAGAAGTCTGTACATATATTGTGTAATTAAGCGTATGTGTTGATGTGAGTGTATGGATGTGGTCGTTAAGGTTGTGTGTCAACCTGGCTGGGCCTGGCTGAGTGGCTGGGCAGCTGGTGGTAGTTAATTCTCATATGAGACTGGTAACCAGCTCCATGGTGGGGCCTACCACAAGCAGCTGAGTAATTGCTTTAGGGAGGTGGTCTGCTTCCCATATACAGGCAGCAGCTTTGGGAATGATCCTACCTTATATCACATTTAAACCTGCACGTAGCCGTGTCGTTGTTCAGCAGCCTGCCTGCTCTGCCAACCTTGGGACTTTCAGTGGACTTGAATCAATGGCCTGCCATGTGGTTTGGTAACATTGGGACTGTGCCTTGTTACTTGTCAACCTTGGACTTGTCAGCCTCAGCAGCCAGCAGCTGTCTGAGTGAAAAAAAGCCTCTAGCTCCAGTGGGCCGGGAGCAGGAGGCAGAGCTGGACCCCAAGGTTGAGAGGTGTGGTGCTAATGTTTGTGTGTCAACTTGGCTTAGGCCTGGTTGAGTGTCTGGGCAGCTGGATGTAGTATTCCCCATGATAAGACTGGTGATTAAACTCCATGGTAGAATCTACTGTAGCTGCCTTTGGGTATGTGTGTGGTCTGCTTCCCATGTATAAGGAGAAGCTTTGAGAATGGTCTCTAGCCAATGGCATGCTTGGACCCTGCATGTAGCCATGTTGGTGCTTAGCAGCCTGCTATGCTCTGCCAACCTTGGGACTTACAATGGACTTAAGTTAATGGCCTGCCGTGTGTGGTTTGGTAATATCAGGACTGTGCCCTTTTTACTTGTCAACCTTGGGGCTTGTCAGCCAGCAGCTGTCTGAGTGAAGAAATGCCTCTAGCTCCAGTGGGCCAGGAGCAGGAGGCAGAGCTGGACCCCAAGGTTGAGGGGCTCTCACCCAGCCCCTAGAGCCTGGCACTTTGAACTTGGACTTAAAGCCTCCAAATTGTAGGAATAAACTCCTGCTTGTTAAGGCCGTCCCATGTATGGTGTGTTTCCTGTCAGAGCAGCACTAGGGAACCAGAACAAGGACCTTTCACCCAGCTCCTAGAGCCTGGTACTTTGAACTCAGACTTAAAGCCTCCCAACTGTAAGAGAATAAACTCCTGTTTGTTCAGGCCATCCCATCTGTAGTGTATTCTTATCAAAGTGGCACTAGGTAACCAGAACAACAGATGAATATGAATGTGTGTGAATGTACGTGTTGAGTGTATGACTGTGTGAGTGAATGTATAAATACGTTTGCATGTGTGTGTAAGTGACCACGTGTAAGTGTATGACTGTGTGTGTGATTGTACATGTACTTGTAAGATACACACATGTAGTCTGTGTATCTGTAAGCTCTGTGTGCATATGCATGTCTGTGAATGTATGTATGGGTGTATGCTTGTGAGCATATGTTAAGTATGTAGATGTATATATGTCTGTCAGTGTATGTGTGGCTGCATGTGTATGCATATATACATGTAAGCATATGTATGCATATGTATCCGTATATGTGTGAGTATATGTGTGTGTGAATAAATGTAATATGTGTGTATGTACAGGAGTATATGTGTAAGTATACATATGCATGAGTGTACAAGTGTGCACATGTACATACATGTACACACACACATGTGTATGCATAAACATGTGCTCGTGTCTGTTAACACGTGCATGTGGAGGCATACATGTGCACACACGTGTGTGCGTGTGGCCCTGGACAAGTCTTTTGGTGTGTGAATGCTCTCCCAGGGAACAGGCCTGCCACTCCACGGGGAACAGCGAGCTGGGACCACAGCCCACACGGTCTGAAGGGCAGGCAGGTCTGGGCCCCAGGTGGACAGGAGGTGGGGGCGGCAGGCTGGGCGAGAAGGCAGGCGCTCACCTTGCCGTTGCGGCTGTGCACCCTGAAGGCCATGTTGGGAGACATGAGCAGCAGCAGGGACTCCTGCTCTGACAGCTTCTTCTTCAGCCTCTCCACGGCCTTGCTGCCCTTGTTTGCTCTCTGCAGGGGTGGGGTTGGACAGACACATGCTTGGGTCGAGTCACTGGGGGGGACGGGCAGCAGGGCCCATTCTCACTCAGTTCCACTTCCCCAGACGCCCAGCTCACGGAGCACAGGAGTGCTGGCTGTCTGCTCAGCACAGCACAGCACGAATAACCCCAAAACCAAACCCACTGCCCTGGAGTTGATTCCAACTCACAGCGCCCCCAGAGGACCGAGTGGAACTGCCCCACAGGGTCTCCAAGGCTATCAGTCTTCATGGAAGCAAAGCACAAACTACACCCACTGCCCTGGAGCCCATTCTGACCCACAGCGCCCCCAGAGGACCGAGTGGAACTGCCCCACAGGGTCTCCAAGGCTATCAGTCTTCATGGAAGCAAAGCATAAACTACACCCACTGCAGTGGAGTCAATTTTGACCCACAGCGCCCCTAGAGGACAGAGTGGAACTGCACCACAGGGTTCCCAAGGCTGTCAGTCTTCATGGAATGCCTCATCTTTTTCCCATGGAGGAGTGGATGGGTTTGAACTGCTGACCTTTTGATTAGCAGCTCAATGCTTTCCCCATGGCACCACAAATGGGGCGGTACCAGAGCCACAAAAGTAACAACAGAACACCCACTGCTGTCGCATCCACTCCAACTCCCGGCCCGTGTGTCAGGGCAGGGCTCCCAGCGCCTGACTCCTCAGCAGTAGACTGCCAGGTCTTTCCTCTGAGGTGCCTCTGGGTGAACGCAAACCATCAAATCTGAGCAGCTGAGCATGTTAACTGCACCGCCCAGCGACTTCCGCCACAGCACAGGGCCTTGGCCAGTCTCTGCTGGCTGCCCTCCTGAGGAAGCAGCAGCCCTTGGGTGGGTTCAAGGCCCAGCACAAGCCACTGAGCACATTCAGCTAGCCTTTCTCCAAGAACAGTCCCCTGACATTGGCAGGGCAGACAGACATCTACAACCTTCTCTCCATCCCAGTTTTTGGAACTGAGACAACACCCACTGGCCCTGTGGCCCAGGCCTCCCTACGGCCCCTCTGATCCAAGTGGATGTCAATATCAGCTCCCAGGCACCTGCAAGGGCCCAGAGGAGGGCTGGCGCTGGTCACCAGCACCTGGGCAGGAAGACCCTCCCTGTCCTGCTTGCTGGGGGGAGGACCATTCTGCCTGCCACCAGGTGGGCCCGTCCCCAACACTGGGGCCAGGGGCACAATGCGGATGGACACAGTGGTAGCAGGAAGCTGTCCTCCTGCAGAATGACACACCTTTCTGACTGCTGGGTTTGAACCACTGACCTACTAGTTAGCGGCCAAGCACTTAACCACTATGCCAGCAGGGTTCCTTTTCACCTTTCCCAGAGCCTCCCGAATCTCTCCGGAGGCCACTGGGGGTCTGGTTGGGGCATTCCTCGCCTGTTGGGTCCTATCATCCTAAGGGGATGTCCCTGGGTGTTCACGAAGGGTCCTCCTGGGGCAGTCCTCACCTACTGGGTCGTACCCCCGCTAGGGCAGTCATATGGGGATGTCCCCGGACTGTCCCCAATCCCAGGGGCCCACTTCCCTTAGTGACTCAGTGCCTCCTCTGGACTGCTGCGGCCGTGACCTGGTTGGTCCCCTGTGCGGAGCGGCCCTGGCTCCCGGGACCAGCAGGCGTGAGGCCAGGTGCCCAGGAGGGGCCGCCCCGCTCCACCCCAGCCCCACACCTTCTCTCTCTGGATGTCACTCTTGATCTGGGAGATCTTGATCTTCAAGGCGTCCAGCTCCTCATCGGGCACCAGCGGGATGCTGGGGGCCGCTTCCGACTCGTCCACCGTCTGGAAGCTCAGGTCCGTGAGCGGAATGTACCACTTACAGTCGTAGTGCTGGGCTTTGCTGGCGGGAGGAGGAGAGTGCAGTTACGCGGGCCCCCATTCCGTGCTAATACCTCTGCTTCCGGAACCTTGGGAACCCTAACTTATTGGCTGTGCAGTTGTTGTTGTTTTTTTAAAAAAAAAAAACAAACCCAGACCCAAACATGGTGCCATGCAGTCGATTTCACCCCAGCCCTGGTGACCCTGTTACCGAGGGGAACCGTCGCATGGGATGTGCATGACTATGATCTTTACGGGAGCAGATTGCACAGCCCTGGTGACCCTGTTACCGAGGGGAACCGTCGCACGGGATGTGCATGACTATGATCTTTACGGGAGCAGATTGCAGGCCTTTCTTCTGTGGCCCTGCTGCATGGGTTCAAACCGCCAACCTTCAGGTTAGCAGCCGAGCGCAAACCCCTGGCATCACCCAGGGACTTCACGCACCATTCACCTGGCCCCAAAACCCAGTGCCTGCTCAACATGACAAGCTGGGGTAAGGCTGTTGGCAGGCAATGGTGACCCCAGGGACCTCGGTACACGTGGCCCAGGGCCCCGAAGTGTTTGACAAGCCCTGAGCCCACCTTGCCCCGTGTGGACGGGCAGCAGGTCCCAGCTCCTCTGGGGACAAGCACACTGAGGCTGCCCGTGGAGCCAGTTCCCCTTGTCCCTGTGAAGATGAGCACGCCAAGGCCATCGGAGGAACTGCAGTCACCTGGGCTCACCTCTCATGTGACAGACAAGGGCCAAGGGCTCTGTTTTCAGGTGGCTGATTAAAACCACTCAACAAGGCAGGACAGGACCGAGCCAGTCCTGGCCACTCCCAGGGCGACCCAGCCCTGCCACCACAGGAAGTCACTCAGCGGCTGCAGGCCTCAGCTGAGAGTATCTTAGGGACCTGCCCACAAGCTTGGGAGGCCCAAGTGCACGGACAGAGGTCTGCCAAGGACGGGGAGATGGCCAAAGCCTACCTAGCACTGGCCTACACCAGACCCTGTGGCTCCCGCCTGCCACAGCACTCCCCTGACATGTGGGGTCACAGGGAGGCTCCCCGTCACTCTGCAAGGTCAACACTCTGGGCACCCTGACCCTGACCCCTCTGTAGACTGACAGTGACCCCTCTGACCCGGAGACCAGCATCACAGCCAGTTAGAAACAAAACACTGCTGTAAGACGCAGAGGACACCGTGGACTTTGGTCCCGCCTCCTCAGAGCCTGACCACACACAGGCCAATGAGTGGGGACCATCCCAACCAAGAGGGACCGCCGGGGGCCCGATGCTGACAAAGCCTCAGGAGGAGGCCCGGAACGGCCCTCAACACTGAGGCTCAGAGAGTCTCCTGGTCGGCGAGGACGTCGGCTCTCAAGAGGGTACCGCACCCCTCGGACACAGAAGCCTGGTGCCGGAAACACCCCTGACCCGACCTCAGACGGCACCTGTCTCCTTTTGTGCCCTATGAGGGTCTAACAGATCTGCAGCTGTAAGTCCTGCACAGCGTCTGTGAGTTCTGTGAGTCATTCCAGCCAACCACTGAACCCAAAGGGGCAGTGCCCACAGCAGGTCAGGGTGAGGGTGTGGCGTGGACCCCCCAGCTGGCAGCTGACATCCTGAAGGGGTGGTGGGGAACCAGCCCCAAATCTGTGGCCAGAAAGGCAGAGGCTGGATGTCATACGGACTCCTCAAAGGGTGGTGTCCTTTGAATGTGTGAGCTGTGCCCGCAGCTCTGGGTGGCGAGGGCCAGAAACAGTGGGGCGGGGGATGGAGAAAGTGTAGTGGGACGAGGGGGTCCATCTGAGCCGCGTCTCAGGGACTGGACTGACCCTGCTTCAGAGCACTCAGTAGCTGGGAAGAGGTGCCTGGTGTCTCCAAGGCTCCAGTCTTCCCTGTGCCAGGGTCCCTCCCCAGAGAGACCGTCTTGCCACCTACCCTGCACTCTGCTTCTTCAACTTGGCGCACAGCAGCAGGTCCGTGAACATGAAGACGTGGCGCAGCTTGCGGGCTCCCTCCACCAACTCCACCATGAAGCTGTCTTTCAGCAGCTGCCGGTGCTGTTGGGATGGGGGGGGGGCGTGGCTCAGGCAACGGGCCAGCTGGGCTGACGCGGGGACCGGCCCAGGGGGAGGTGGACTCACGCAGATCCAAGCCTCGGACAGACCCTACAGCATTCGCTCCACCCCACCGCCCCATGGACAGACAAGGCCCCTGCCTAACAGGCCTCCCGGTGCCCCTGCTGGACGCAGGCCTGCGGTGGGGGAAGTGTGCACGGAGGGGACTGCCATGGGGGAGCAGGTTTGGGAAGGGTCCCAGTCACCAAGGCCCTCAGGGAAAGGTCGGACACCCCCTCAGCAGGGAAACAAC